GCGGGGAGGGGCGAGGGGGGCAGCTGTCCTGGTGTCTGCCCAGTGGGTACTTGTCCCCACCGGGACTCAGACCGTCACTGCAGAAGCAGAGGTCAAGGTCTCCATATCTGGCCTCCACTGCGTCCCTCCGCTGTGTTCCGTCTCCGGGACAGCAGCACATGGAGCCTCGTCATCTGGCTCCTCACTCTGCCGTGACAGTCACTGGGTGATGGTCCCCTGTCTGCCTCGCCACTTCCTCCTGAAGTCACTTCTTCCCAGTGGTCAGTTCCTGCTCCCAGTGGTCAGTGGCCAGCTCAGACTTTGGGGTGAAGCCAGACAGGTGACGTGGAGGCGTTTTCTTACTCGAGGGTCCCCTCTGGCATTCGGACAGCGTGTGCCAGGCAGGGCAGCGGCCATTGGGACCTCGTGGGCTGTTCGGCTCATCGCCTTCCAGGCAGCACAGCGTTTCTCTCCCCGTGCCAGCCCAGTGTCCCATCCTTCATCTCCAGGAGCCAAGAGCCAAGCTGTCCTGAGCTGCATTTGTGCCAGGTTTTGGGAGGCTCAAGCCAGCCCGGGACGCGGCATCAAGGACCGGCCCTATGGGTAGCAGAAGACCCCGGGGGTTTCAGCCTTCGGAAGCCTGGTCTGACCGAGGCCCTCCTGCCCGGTTCCTCGCCACAGCTTTGCTGCTCTGTCCCCAGATGACAGCAGCCCCGCTCTGGCAGGGAAACCAGCAGCTGGCATGGCCCTATAGTCTGGGGGACCTCCGGCTTCTGCTTCTGCGCCAGCACCAACGCCGCCGCCGCCGCCTTCTGCTGAGAGAACGCTCGGGCTTTCAGAGGCCGCGGTCCTTCGGCACCAGAGCTGGCGTCCCCGGGGAGCCCTGACGTGCCGCGTGCAGGGCTGTGTCTGGGTGCGGGTTGGCCCACTGGGGCCTGAGCTGGTGGCCATGGCACCCAGCTGGTGGTTTTCCTGTGGCATCTAACCTCACAAGACTATTCCTGGTTCATCATTGCCACCACGCCCTTCCACCAAGCTGCTTTTTGGAAAACACAGACTGGATGGCCTGGAGGAGAGCAAGTGTGCGCCCTGAGGTGTGAAGGTGCCGGCAAATCCGGGGCAGTTTCAGACTCCCGGCATGCCTCGGGGAGTTCTGACTTGTCCCAACCCTGCCTTCATTGGGGGTGGCGACCTCTTCTCTCAGTCACCTCCCAAATATTTACGGAGGACCTGTGACAGACGTGTCGCGCTTGGGGCAGGCGCTCTCAGTCTTGCTCACATGTCTCCGTCACGTCCTCCAGCTCCTTCCAGGAGGAGGAGGAAGGTTCGTGCAGGCACAGCTAGTGTCCCCATAGACTCCATTTCCTTGGCACCCCCTCGTCACCCCAGAGCCGGGGCCCAGCCCCACATCTCGTGGCCTTTGCTCTCAGAGCCACGGGGGAGCTCTGCCCTGCTCGGCAAGCAGCTCAGCCTCCCGAGGCTCACGAGGGCCCAGGCTCTGGCAGTTTCCCCAAGTGTCCCAGTGACGCCAGGGGCCGCTGGGGGTTCCTGGGTGGGGACGGACGCATCAAGAGGTGGCGGCTTGGGGCAGTCAGTGCACCCCACACGCCACCTCCCCAGAAGCATGCTCGCCTCGCCCTGCCTTTCCAGAAAGGGAGCCTGTTAGCCAAAGAGCACAGCAGCTGGTGTCTGTGCCAGCGCCCCCTCAGATGGGGGCCTGGGGGCACAGGGCGAGGAGGGAGAGCTGGGTGAGGGGGTGTCATGAGACCAAAGACCGTGATGGAAACGAGAGGGGTTTGCTCTGCAGCGTTTGGCTCCGAGCCTTCCAGATGTTAGGAGGCGGCAGGGAAGGCGGGTGGAGTTGGAAGGGATCTGGAGGGAGTGTGTCTGTCCTCGGGCTCCATCCCCTCCCCTCCCATCCCTGTGCCGTCACCCTGGCTCAGGAATGTCTCAGCTGTGCCCGGGATCATCCCCGTTGCCTCCTGGGGCCTCCCGTGTCCAGGCATTGCGTACGACTCATTCTGACCCCTCCCCACAGCCCTCGGAGGCCCACGTGGGCCTCAGGCTTCCCCCGTATCCTACTGCCGCCCTCCCCCAGCGCAGGACACAGTGCAGGTAGACTGGCAAGTCCGACAGGTCTGGGCACAGCACCCGTGTCCTCCACTTACAGTTCCACGGTCTCTTACTCCTCAGTTTCTTCATCTGTGAAATGCGCCGGCTGGTCCCCCCACCCTCTTGCCTGTACTACACACCGCCTGGCACGCAGTCGGCCAGGAACTGTAGCCCTTGTGCCCCAAACCTGCCTCTCACCCAGAACCCAGAACTCTCTACCCACCTGGCCCGGCCCTGCCAGTTGGGGCCCTGCCCTTCAGGTCCAGCTCGCAGCCACAGCCCGCTCCCCTATGGGCGTATTTACTCCTCCTTTGTGACTCTCACGTGTTCTCTGCACTGCACTGCTGTTTCGTCAGACTTTCTCATCTCCCCTGCCAGAGCGGTGATCCCCAAGGCCAAGTCAGACTCTCGTGCTCCTTCTGCACCTGCCCTGCTTCAGACACCGGGCGTCGCGTAACATGGTCGTTCGCTGGTCGACCCCCATCCTGACAGCCATCGCTAACTGGAGCAGCTGTGCTCATGCCTGAGAGCCGGGAGGCCTGTTCACTGGCCCAGATCCTCAGATGGCTCGTGTAGGGCCACAGCTGGAGTGGCTGGGCCCCGACCCTTGAGGCCCCCTTTGCCCTGGGGCCCTGGTCTCAGTCACCTGTGCTGACAAGCAGCTTCCCCCCCCCTGCCCGGCTTCCCCCCCCCCGTGCCTGGCTTGGCAAAGGTCATCCTGGCGCCCACAGATGGGCAGGGAAAAGTTAGCTACATGGACGCAGGAGGGGAAGTCTGGGCCAGGAGAGGTCAGATGACCTCTGGTGTTACCCTGGGATGTGGTCCTGGAGCGCAAGTGGCCCACAGACACGAGGCGCAGGGCATGAGTAGGGACACACGTGGCAGCCCTGCACATCTCCCCTCCTCCTAGCACCTCCGTGCCAGCTTCCTCCTCCCCCTCCTCCTCCTTTCCCTCCTCCTTCCTCTCCCTGCCTCGTTTTCTCTTAAACCCTTACATGATCAAAGCAGGTCTGCCCAGGTCACCGAGCCGCAGACGGACCCCTTCATTTTCCGTGTCATGCGTGTCAATCCGGTTTTCCTGTGGAGACGATTCAGCCGGAGGCCACTGTTGGCTTTTTCCCACCCCGCAGGGTTCACACTCCTTCCCCAGCTGCCACCAAGTGGCCACCGTGGACATGCCTGCCAGTGACCAGCTCCCCATGATCCCTTCCCCCGCCCCCGAAAGCAGCTTCTCCTGCCCTTCTGTGTCCTGAGGCCAGAGCGGCTGCCCAGCTGACTTGCGCTCCTTTCGTGGGTCCTTCCACTGCGTGTTCTCTTTCTGTCCCGATGGTCAGATTCCCTGCTTCTCTCCAGAGGTCTGGAATGATGACACCGGTCTCCGAAAGAACAGCCCCTCCCCCAGACAGTCTATTACTGATGCCCACAGGCCAACCCTTGTGCCTGAAAGTCATGTAGGCATGCTGGGGTGAAGATCCGGCGCTGTTCCAGGCTCGCTTGTCTCCCAGGTGCCTCGTTCGTCGGGGGTGCTGTCAGCGGACGAGGCTCCACTGCTCATAGACACAGGTGACAGGCCCCCAGGAGAGACCCCCTGCTCTAGCCCTTCGTGGACACAGTCACTGAGCACTACCCTGAGGCCCACCATGTGGGCAGCGCCAGTCCAGGGGGCGAGGAGCTCGAGCTGGTCTCAGAAGGAGCGGGGGCGCGTCTGCTGGGCCGTGGGGAGCTCCCCTTGGAGGCCACCACTAGGTCCCACTGCCGGGCAGCCTCTTCGCAGCCGTGGGTCTCACCCCGTGGGGGCCGCTGGGGGCACAGACTGGCTCCTGAACTGGGGCAATGTTCTGGAGAAGGTTCTGGCCCAAGCTGGGCTTCATGTTGGCTCCAGGGAGGCGCCGGCCTGGCTTTCTCAGCGGCGGCCTTTATGGGGTTGGAGCTGGTGATTCAGGCTCCGATGAAGTTGGTGGGGCCCGGGATGCTGTGGTTTCCACACACTGCTGCAGTGGCCCTGCAGGAGAGTGGGCACTGGTCACCACCCTCTCTGCCTGTGCTCGGGGCGGGGGTGCCGTGGCCATGCAGGGCTCGGCCAGCAGGGGACCTTCTGCGCTGGAAGCCTGTGGGCATCCCTGGCCGATCTCAGGTGTGGAGAGGAAAAGCGGGCCCCACCAGGCACCACGCCTGTTTCTTCCTGCCCCGCAGGATCGGGCTGTAGGGAGTCCGACCGGGGGCATGTGGGAAGGGAGCTTTGGGTGTGGTGCACGTTCTGCGGGGGGACAGGTTATTTCCGAGGGGGCATCTGCTTCTCTCATTGGATCTGAAAATGTGTGTGCGTTCCTCCTGAGCAGGAGTGGAATGTCGGGATCATGGCCTTCCCCGTGGGCAGGGCCCTTTGGGACCCTCCCCCCCCCCTCCACTCAGGCAGCATCCCAGCCGCTGAGCCTCCACCGCTGGCTGCTCGGTGACAGGAGGCTCCGGTCCCTAGAAACACCTGCTCCTCCTGCCCAAAGGTGCACGCTTGTTACCAACACCTGCAGCTCTTCCCACGGGCCGCTCGGGCCACTCTCGGCCGGGCACGGTCTGCACCCTGGCCCGGCCCCCACTGAGAGCTACGGCCCTCTGTTGCTACGGTTGGCACATGACTTCTTTAATTTTCCCTTTTTCCTCTTGGCCTCTTGTCATCCTTTCATCCATTTGTGCTGGTCCAAGACTATGAGCTTTGAAGAGAAAGGACATGGGGAATGGTCATCTGTTCTGTGAGGGCCTTGAGCCCAGAGCTCTCAGGCGGGGTGAAGGGAGACTAGTAGGGACCCCGTGTGGCCTCCTGTGTGCCCGGGTGCAGGGACAGCCTGGGAAATCCAGCCCCACACATGCTGCCTGCGGAGCTGAGGGCTCTGGGGAGACGGGGAGGCGCCCCACATGCCCGCCCCCTCCCCAGCCTGCAGGGTTTGCCTGTAACCCTCCGGTGAGGGGCGGGCTGTGGCTCCTGCCTGCGCGACCTTCCCTGTCTGCCCTGCGCCGTGTCCTCCTGCACCGAGCAGGCTGTCGTCCTGGGGCCCCGGAAGGTGTGGTTTTGAGTGCTTACGCTTCAACTCCCTCCCAGTTCACCAGAAGAGTCCTGTCTCACGACAGGCAGTGAACTCATTTCCCTCTCTGGCAACCACTGAATTTGAGAACGTCCTGTTTTACCGTCATCAAAAGAAGTGAAACTGTCCCACGAAATAAAGTGGAACGCCCCATGATGGCCCAGGGAGAGACCAGACTTTCCTTATGGAGTGACCAGCAGGAGCCCAGAGGGCAGCCCCTGCCTGTCCTGCCGGGTCCCCTAGAGGATGGCGCACGGCGTGAGCCACTGCAGGTGGCGACAGTCACGAGGCAGACCCTGCACCAGCCCTGCTTCCTTCCTGTCCCCGCACTGCAGCGGCCTCACTGCTCGCCTGCACTGCAGGCCCCTCCTGACTCCCAGGGTCAGCCAAGTGGAGACCCCGACCCACTGGCGCACAGACCCTGTCTGCTCCGGATCCAGGGGTGGAGGGCACAGAGCGATGGCCTGCGTCGTCCGCATGTCCGTTCAGCTGCAGGACCGCCTCCCCACTGCAGACCTGCTCACTTCCCAGAGGTGCCCGGGGAGAATGTGTTTTGGGGAAGTGCTGGCCCCCGGGTTCCAGGAATTCTTCCCAAAGAGGCAGGAATTCAGTGCGGGAAAGGGAGCTGTGTGACCCCGAGCAGAGCTATTCTGGTGAATCTCATCCCAACACCTGGAGCCGAGCCATGGCATCACTGTCCGGGTGTGGGCATCTGAGCCCTGAGAGAAAACGTCACTCAGCTGTGGTTGGCCCCACGTGTGTCTGCGGGGATGGTGGGGCCTCGAGGGGTAGGCGTGACCAGGGAAGGCTTCCAGCAGGAGGTGCCACCCCTACTCCCCCCTCCCCCGGCCACCCACCTTGCCGTCAGCCACGCCCCTGGGAAGCCATCCTGGAGGGCGCACCCCTTCAGCAGCTGCCCTGGCAGTGGACATGGCTGGAAAGCATAGTCGGGCCTTCTCCTCATCTGAGGCTCACACTAATTTCCCTCCTTCTGTTTCCCAGCTGGTCAGCGAGAAGGTCGGAGGGGCTGAAGGGACCAAGCTTGATGAAGACTTCAAAGAAATGGAGAAGGTACCGGGAGAGCTGGTGCGGCCCGTCTGACGTCCAGCACTATCACCCTCCCAGGCCATAGCCACACCACAGCTGGGCTGCGATGGGGGGGTCCCGGATGGATGGGCCTCTGGCCCTGGGAGGCAGGGGGCGGGGCAGAGGCAGGGGCTGTCCAGGGACTCCCGGTCTGGCCTCCAGCGCCCCAGTGGTTGTGAAAGCCCACACTCCGCCTCTCTCAACAGAAGGTGGATGTCACCAGCAAGGCCGTGACGGAAGTGCTGGCCAGAACCATCGAGTACTTGCAGCCCAACCCAGGTAGGGGTGCCAGCCGGCTAGAGGGGCCCGTGTCAGCCAGGAACCACCGGTCTCTGGGGCGGAAGGAGGAACGTGTGGGCTCAGAGAACTGAAGTGCCCGGGAGTAGGCAGGCGGGTTTCATGGGGGGCTGGACCCAGGGGTGCAGAGGTTGCCCTCAGAGTCCCGTGTTTCCTTTCGTCTCCATCAGGCAGCTCTTGTTCTGTGTGGCAGCCCTAGTCCGAAGTCACCCCTACAGCAGTCCTAGTCACCCCACAGTAGTCCCCGCCGGGAAGGGCATCTCTCCCACCTGACCAACTCTTTGCACCAGTTTCAACTGGCTGCCCACCATATGCCAGGCCCTAGCTGCAGGCCCAGCTTTGGAGCGTGAGGTGGGAGTCTCTAGTCTGAGACAGAGACGGGAACCTTTCCCTGAGGACAGTCCAGATTCAAGTTCCCGCAGTAGGAGGTGACGGCTGTGGGACCCGCAGCAGCTCCAGCCGGGTCTGCTCGAGGCCCGCGCCAGGGACAGAGCTGAGCGGGCGCGAGGCTAGCACACAGCTTCTCCCCTGTGCCAGGCACCTGTACACACCTATGTCTGCCCGCTCACTTCTCTGGGGTGCTAGTCCCCAGGCCAGGGAGGGGAGCTTCTGGGATCGGAGCTGTGCTCCAGGATGCAGAGGCCCCGAGGGGCCCAGGGGAGCCGATCACCTGCTTGCTGCCAGTGCTCCTCTGTGGCCAGGGTGGGCAGAGGTGGGAGGTCCGTGCAGGAGATTATCCTCGGAGCCTGGCCATCAGCAGACCCAGGAACTGAGGTTCCTTGGGCCAGGGCAGCGCTCTATAAGAAGGTGTTGGGGACAGGCAGCCCACAGCGCTGGCAGAGTGCAGGCCTGTTCTGGAGAGAGACCGGCCGCAGGCCTCCCCAGCCCGTTCTCTTCCAGCTTCACGGGCCAAGCTGACGATGCTCAACACGGTGTCCAAGATCCGCGGGCAGGTGAAGAGCCCCGGCTACCCGCAGTCGGAGGGCCTGCTGGGCGAGTGCATGCTCCGCCACGGGAAGGAGCTGGGCGGCGAGTCCAACTTCGGTGAGGCCTCCAGAAGGCCAGGCTGCAGGGCCAGAGCGCCTGGCGCTGGAGGGTGGGGTGCCACTTCCCTGCCGTGCTCCAGAGTCCTGTACGGGGCCTGTTAATTCCCTGGATGAGGGCAACAGAAGCTCCCAGAACACCCTTCTTTCCTCTGTGGGGATGAGCAAGGAGCGGAAGTGTTGCCGCCGGAAAGCCTGCCCTTGAGCCACAGCTAACATCAGGGGAGCTGCGCGTGGGGGCATGGGGGGTTTGACCCCTGTCATCGCCGGCTCCTCCTGGCTGCTGGGCTCAGATTCAGACTTCAGGGACCCTCGCTTGGTTCTGAATTCTGGCGTCTGGGCCCTTGGGGGTGAGGGCAGGTTCGCAGTTGGGGGTATCTTGGACCCCAGGCCCTGGCCTCCTATGACAGCTTCTCCCCTACTCCCCCCGCCAGGGGACGCCCTGCTGGATGCGGGGGAGTCCATGAAGCGCCTGGCGGAGGTGAAGGACTCTCTCGACATCGAGGTCAAGCAGAACTTCATCGACCCCCTGCAGAACCTGTGTGACAAAGACCTGAAGGAGATCCAGGTGCCGCCCCCCCGCCCCCCCGTGTGCCCACCGTCACCCGGCACAGGTGCCTCACAGCCCTGCCCCCTGCATGTCTGTGCCTCCCAGAGTGCCCGGCTTCCTGGAGCCCCAGCACGTACCTCACAGCCCTGATGCTCCCCCTCCCCGCAGCACCACCTGAAGAAGCTGGAGGGCCGCCGCCTGGACTTTGACTACAAGAAGAAACGACAGGGTAGGATCCCCGACGAGGAGTTGCGCCAGGCCCTGGAGAAGTTCGAGGAGTCCAAGGAGGTGGCCGAGACCAGCATGCACAACCTCCTGGAGACCGATGTGCGTCTGGGCCCTCCCCGGGGGGAGACTTCCCCAAACTGGGGCCCGTGGGCGGAGTCACGCATGCCTTACCCGGAGCCCGAAGGGGCAGCCGCAGGACCGGAGGGGCCTCCCCCGGCCCTGTGAAGCTTTAAGGTCTCCTCCAGCAGCAGTGAGGGGGTCAGGCGGAGGGGGAGGGCCCCGGTGCCAGGAGCATTCTGGCAAGACTCCCTGAGAGAGGCAGCCTCGCAGGCAGGGGTCACGGGGGGCCGGCCCCTCAGCGGGCTGCTCCTCGCAGATCGAGCAGGTGAGCCAGCTCTCTGCGCTGGTGGACGCCCAGCTGGACTACCACCGGCAGGCCGTGCAGATCCTGGACGAGCTGGCCGACAAGCTCAAGCGGAGGTGAGCCCCGGCCTTCCCCGAGGGAGCCCCCCTGGGGGGGCTGGCCTTGTGCTGCGCCCTGGAAGCCCAGAGCCGCTCCCGTGGGTCCCTGGGCCGGCCCTCTGGGCTTCCGAGACACCACCGCCAGCATCCCCGACGGCCCAGCCCGGCTTAGGGTCTGTGTCAGAGCAGGGGGCCGGCTTCTCTTCATCAAGAGATGAAGGCCGCATGCGTCAGGCGGGGGCTCCAGGGGGAGCAAGACCACCTCACAGGGGAGGGTTGGAGCGACCTGAGGCTGGGAGGCCAGAAGAAAGAGACCTTTCAGAGCTCTGGGCCTGAGGGGGTGGGTTACCCAGGGCAGGGGCGGATGGCGCTCCCCTCCGAGGGCCATGTCCCCAGGTGGGGTGGGCACGCTCCGGGGCTGCAGAATTTGGCAGGACCTGGCCGGTTGGCAGCCTCTGAGCAGGGTCTGAGCTAGGGGAACTGATCAACTGGGAGGCCCTTTGGTTAGACCCATTGGGCCTCTACGTCCAGGCCGGTCTCAGGGCTCCTCCTCCCACCCCAAGTCCTGGGCAGCAGCATCAACGGTGGGGATGGGGGTGTCCCTTCCCCCTGGCATGCACAGGACTCGGCCCCTGCTGGCTGCTCACAGCTGTCCCCCTGCCTGCAGGATGCGGGACGCCTCCTCTCGTCCCAAGCGGGAATACAAGCCCAAGCCTCGGGAGCCCTTCGACCTTGGGGAGCCGGAGCAGTCCAACGGGGGCTTCCCCTGTGCCACGGCCCCCAAGATCACACGTAAGCAGTGGGGAGGGGGCCACACACAGCCTCCTGCTCCGTCCAAAGCGCGGAGCCAACCGCCGCCCCTGCCCCCCACCCCGGGGAAGGGGCCCAGCCCAAGGTTCTCAGCCCCCCTTTCTGCTTTGTCTGCAAGCAGCTTCGTCATCTTTCCGGTCTTCAGACAAGCCCATCCGGACCCCCAGCAGGAGCATGCGTGAGTCCCTGCGGGCACGGGCCCTGCCCTCACCAGCTCCCCGCCGCAGTGTGACACGCTGCTTTCTGGTCTGTTCAGAAGGACCCTTCTCCTCCCCTTCTCTGCTGGAAGCAGACGCCCCTGGGATCAAGTCCTCCTGGCCCGTCTTGGGCAGGGAAGGAGTCAGGCCCTGGAGCCTGCCCGGCACAGCACGGCATCTCTGGGTTCCCCATACACAGCACCGAGGGTGGCCAACAGCTTCTAGGCTCTCTGACGGGCCGCCTGAGGGCTTCTGGTCATTCTGTCCCCCTGATGCTCCTGGGCATCCCCAGCTCCTCCCAGGAGTGTTTTGGTGCCCATGGATGGAGCCCGTTTCCATCCCTCTTGGCCCTCGTCCCTCCTTTCTGACAAGGCCGGGGGACATCAGGAGCAGCGGCAGCTGTCCTTCCGGGGACGCAACCAGGCTGGGGCGGGGCGGGAGGGGGCCCGGGGTCTGAGCCGAGCCTCTGCCGCCAGCCCCCCTGGACCAGCCAAGCTGCAAAGCGCTGTACGACTTCGAGCCTGAGAACGCCGGGGAGCTGGGCTTCCATGAGGGTGACGTCATCACGCTGACCAACCAGATCGACGAGAACTGGTACGAGGGCATGCTCCACGGCCAGTCGGGCTTCTTCCCCCTCAGCTACGTGGAGGTGCTGGTGCCCCTGCCGCAGTGAGCGCGTCGGCCCGTCCCCACGGCCTGCATCCCACCTGCCTCTGCAGCCAGGGCTGGGCGTCGGCGCCACGGGGACTGGGACGGGGCAGGCGGTGGCAGGCCCCGCCGGGGAGGCAGGGCCCGCTGACGCTCATGCTCATCCACAGCCCCTCTCCACGCAGCAGTCTCAGGGCCGGGCAGTATTTTCCCTCCCCGTGCCCGCTGCTCCTGGACTGCCTCTCCCCAGCCCTGTGCCCCGAGGGGGTGGACACTAAGGTGCTCTGAGAAACACTAACTTCCTCCCGCCCCTCCAGGAACGCCCCTCCAGGAACGGGCAACTCCAGGTGGGCCCCCTCACTCACTCACGCACACGTGTGTGTGTGTGTGCACATGCCCTGTCCTGTCTCTGCTTCGTCCCCTTTATTCTGGGCTGTCCCCCACCCCCCAGGAGACCTGCCCTTAACAGGGTGAGCAGAACATCCACGCCACTGGCTGTTCTCAGCAGGACCCCTAGCCCAGGCTCACCAGCCGGCTTTTAAATGACCCCGCAGCACTCCTTCCCAACCCCAACCCCAGGGTTCCCCAGGCCCCGGCACACCCATGGTGCCACCTCCCTGGGGACACACAATCCTGGGGTCCTCAGGGTTCCCCTAAAGACTGGCCCTTTCCTGAGCAGCCTTGGAGCTGCTGGCGTCTCCCTCCTGCAGGGCGCTCAGCTCTGCACAGCGGCGCCCTCCTCCCACCCCACTGCCCCGTCCTGCACCCTCTCCTCAGTTCCCACGTGCAGGGTGCCCCAGACAAGCACACAGACGTTTTTCTCTGGCACGAGCTGCCACCACCAGCTGTGCACATGGCACATACGTGTGCACCACAAACGGGACCACAGGAGTCTCCAGCCTCTGCTCTGCTGAAGGTCAAACACAGAGGCTTTGATGAATGTTCCCAGACCCCTGGCTGCTGGGACTGACCTCAGGAGGGTCCAGGCACCTCCCCCCTCCTCAGCCGGCCACTGTCCCTGCTGCTGACAGTGGCCCCAGCCATCTCCCTACAGACCCAGGCAGGCAGCTGCCCTGAGCAGCAGAGCCCAGCCCCGCAGCCACTTCCTCTCTTGCCTAGTCCAAAAATCAGCTCAACTCGGGGACTTTGGGACTGGATCACATTCCCCTCCTCTGATGACTCAGCAAAGCCCTGGGGCCACCAGGCTCTGCTCCTCCTTGAGCACCCCCCATTGCCATTCGTGGGGGGAGGCACTGACCTCCTGGCAAAGATGACCAGCGTAGCCTTGGTCACAGTCGAGGGCAGATCAAAATGTAATCGGATTTTTTTTTTTTTAAAGTATTAAATGTCTCTTTCTAGAGCCTCTTGCTTGGTTGAGGTGCAGGGTGGGTCTTCCCCCAGCTCCTCTAGACCCTCATAGCTCCCCCGAGGGGACCTCTGTCAGGACCTCCTGGGGACCTCCCCAGGAGCTGGGGAGGGACAGCTGGCCTCTGCCCAGCTGCCAGCACTGGCCGCGGATGCCCCCCACCACAGCTGCGTGACAAGTGTCCCCTCCTGCACCGACCAAGGGGCCATGCCACCCAGACAGCCACCCATGTGCCTGGTGACCAGTGCGGGGAGGGGGCACCCCCCAGGTGAGACACACGCCCAGGCTCTTTGCTTCTCCCCTTTATTGCTGCGCCACAACAAAGCCCCCTGACCCATTCCCCCTCAGCCGGAACCACTGGGGGTTCGGAGGACGACCTCGGAGGCGGTGCCTCAGCTCCCTTGTTTAAGAAGGCTGTAGACCTGCTCCAGTACATGGCACAGGCCCTGGTCCTTGGGTGTCCTGCTGGCCAGGGACATCTGAAACGAGCAGGGCTGGCACCTCAGGGCTGGGCCCCATGGTCCCGGCGTCCCCCCGCCCCCCATCCCCGCAGAGGAGCTCTACTAACAGAGGTACACAGTAGTGTCCTGAGAACGAGGTTTTATTTTTAAAGGAGGCGGCCCACTCGTGCGTGTTCTGGTTTGGGCTGAGGAAGGGGGTCCTTTCTGCACATTCCACATACTGCTCTCTCCCCAGCTGCCTCCCTGTCAGGATCTCACATCCGCTGCGTGGGGATCTGCCCCCCACCCCACCAGCCCAGTGACAGGGTGGAGGGGGCCCAGTGGCAGCTCAAAGCTCTGGTCACTCTTAAGTTTGAACAAAACAAGCCAGCATGCAAAACTGTGTTTCTCTACCCAGTGGAGTTGAAAATGCCATCTGAGAAGGACTTCTATGCCGGAAGTCAGTCAGACACACACACCCTGCCCCCTCCCCAAGGCCACTAAGCCCTAGGAGTCCCCCTCAATGACTGTAGGGCCAGAGAGCTGGAGAAACCCTTCAGGGCACCAGCCACTCTCTGGCGGCTGCGGCTCTGGCTCGGACCGCGGCCCCCTCTGTGTTCCCTGTGGGCGCCCAGGCTGGGAGATGCCCTGTGTACTTCTCTCCAGCCTGTGCTCCCCAGGCCTTTATGCCATCATCTGCCTCCAGCAGGGGTCCCTGTCCCCATCACCACCCACCTGTGGCCAAACCAGACTCCTTTTCATCAGCTTTCGTGTCCAGAACAACTTAGGACACCCCGTGTCTCAGGCTGCCCATGGATAGATCCTTGGAGGCCCTCCAGGAACTGTCTTCCTCAAGGGGCTCGCAGGAGGCTGGGGGCATATGTCTTACCTTCAGCTTGTCCAGGTACGTGTGCTCCTGGCTCCAGGGCTCCTGGAACCTTACGAGGTCCGGGGCGCCCTTGTAGAACTCCACCAGCAGCATCTAGAGGACAGGGGGCCAGTGAGACCCCCTCGCCCTGCCCTCCCGCACCAGGCGCTCAGGATATAGCAGGGAGCCCCCCCTCGGGGGGCTCCTGGTCCTATACAGCACACGGGAGCCACCCAGGACCCCAAGACAGACCACGGAGGAGCGCCCCCAGAGGGAAATGAGGGAGGCACCCGTGATTCTGAATTCCTACCCCCACCCCCTTGTATAGCCTCCTCCCAAGCAACAGCTGATCGGCAGTACCACGGTGACCTACTAGCTGTTTTTAAAATGGCTGCTGGAACATGGGACCTAAAAACATTCATCTGGCACCACCAGAAGGCCCTCACTTGTCTTCACTTGGACAGTTGGGGGCACATGCAGAGGCATGAGCACCTCCAGCAAGTTCCAGAACAGCAAGGAGGCTGGGGGGAGGGGAGGTGGACAAGAACCTGGGACTGGAGAGGCAGTCCCTCTCCAGGGCATTCAGCCACCCTGAGTCCTGCACTATCACCACCGGCCAGCTGGGGCCCTAAAGCTCCACCCTTTCCTCTCTGGGGCCCTGCCCACCCCCCTGGGAGTGAGCTCACCATCTCATGCAAGATGTCATTAGTCAGAAAGTTGTCCTGGACGTAGGCCATCTCCACATCCATGGGGATGCCGTAGTCACTGGGCCTTTGCTGCCAGGGACACAAACCAGTCACCCTCAGCCACCTCCAGCCCTCTGCATCCCATGAAGGTTGTGCCCTGGGCCAGCAATTGGCAAATCAAGACCGCAGGCCCGGCTCTGCACCGTGACCAGGTTCAGGGCCACATGGCCCTGCCCCCAGCACAAGAGGCCAGGAATAGCTCTCAAAACCCCATTCTGACCCCAGGACAGGTTCGGGAAGGGGGCCGTCTCAGTAACGCGGGCAGCACGCTCCCCATGGGGGCCACACCTCTTCAACATCCCTCACCGCCCAAATCTCAGATAGTGCCACGGTTATGCTCTCATTTCACGGGGGACGCTAAGGCCCCGCCCCCGCAGCGCCGGCCCCGCCCCCCCCCAGCGGCCCCGCCTACCTCAGGGGGCGGCATCACCCAGAACGGCGAGATCTTGGACTCAGGACCAGGATTGCCAGAGTAGTAAGGGGCTGCAGGAGGAGAGTGAGAGTAGGGGCTGGGCCAGGGGTGGGGTGGGGTCGGCGGCCCAGGGTGCCACGCACGCACGCACGCACGGGGGGACTGCCACACTTACAGCAGAGCAGGGCGAGGCAGGGCTGGAAGCCGTTGCTGGAGCCCTGCAGGCGCAGCTGGTAGTCCATCTGCGAGTCTATGTCCTGCAGCGACGGCAGCGCAGGGCTGTGCGGGTGGCTGTGGTACCAGCCCACCAGGGACAGGCCCCGCAGGAGCAGGCTCTGGTAGATCTGGGGGCACAGGCGAGGCTGGGGCGGGCGGGGTGCGCGCCGGGGGCTCTCCCAGCCGGTGTGTGCACCCACCTGCCGCGCTCCATCCCCCACGTGAGGCCAGCACTACCTATGTGCCTGGTGTGTACCAGGCCTGGGGACACCGCGGTGACCACGCCAGACCCTGCCCCCACCACCCTCCGTGAGGCCAAGGGAGGGGGCACAGTCAACAAATCCATTAAAAAAAATGCACCCGGGGGTGCCTGGGTGGCTCAGTAGGTTAAAGCCTCTGCCTTCGCCTCAGGTCATGATCCCAGGGTCCTGGGATCGAGCCCCGCATCGGGCTCTCTGCTCAGCAGGGAGCCTGCTTCCTCCTCTCTCTCTGCCTCCCTCTCTGCCTACTTGTGATCTCTCTGTGTCAAATAAATAAATTAAATCTTTAAAAAAAAAAATGCACCCGTCACCAAGCAACGGCGAAAGTTTACTGGGGGCCCTGCAGTATCCCTAGTTCAGGGAACAACTCCCGGTGCCCAGTAGGCGCCCAAATAGTTACACAAGCAGCTGGGTGGGTGTGGGTGCACTGGAGCAGGACAGGCGTATCCAGAGGCCTGAAGCAAGTAGAGGCAAGCGCTAGCCTAAGGACCAAGAAAGGCAGAGGCCGGGAGACGCGCACACCAAGTGCACGCCTGCTCGCGCGCCCCCCCGAGAGCTCCTGGCGGAGCAGGGAGCAGGCGGGCCGGAGCGCTCGGCCCGGCGCCAGGCACGTGCAAAGCTGCACGGTGTGAGCACTATCAGGACGGCCCCTGATACACATCTGGAGACGGGGGTTCAGAGGGAAAGGGGGCTGGCCACCTGTGCCCAGGGAAAGGATGACCATGGGGTCACACACACACACACACACACATTTGCACACTTGTTGAACTAGGACACTGTGCTAGCCACCAGGACACGGTAGCCAGGACAGCTGTGTCCACCCTTGCCCTCCCCAGAGCACCCTGATTCCAGGTGTCCCCTCACCTCCTCTTCCATGGCGGTGGCCATATCCGCGTCCCCCAGGCGGCTCCGACAGGGGAAGGCTCTCAGCACCGTGAGCACTGCGCAGAGGCGGGGGAAAGGTGTAGACATCAACCCTGGCCCCAAGCACCCCCCTGCCCACCTGGCCCCGAATACCCACTCTGGCTGTTGATGTCCCAGCGGCCCCCCAGGTACCCCACGACCTCGCTGCGAGTCAGGTGGCTGTGGAAGTCCTGGGGAGGGGATGGACATTGGAAGAGTGGCTCAGGCTGCGGCCCCACCCCAAAGTCTATCCTCGGGCCCAGAGCCCTGGCAATGCGCAGGGCCCACCCCACCTGCCTCCTTCGTTGGGACCTTGAGTGCCTACAGTTTCTCAGCAGTGACAGAGCACTTCCTGCCCTCACAGAGCTAACATTCCAGGGACCCCCCCCAGGTGCCCCAGCCACCTGCGCCGGCCTGGCCCTTGGCCCACAAGGGACAAGGGGGCAGCGGGGCACGCACCAGCAGGAACAGCACGTTGCTGGAGACGGCCACATTGAACGGCTGGAACTTGTTGATGGCAGCAAAGGATGTGACTTCCACCAGGGTGTGGGGGTTCCTGTTGGAGCCAGAGGGTCCCACAGCCCCATAGCTTCAGGAGCCAGCTCCCCAGGCCTCTGAAGCCAGCTCTGAGCATGGGAAGCCTTGTGCCCACCTCCTTGGGGTCCCCCCACTCTCGCAGAGCATGTGAACACCGGGGGGGCGGGGGGACAGGTTGTGTCTGCCTGGGGTGCTCCCCCCACTCCCGCAAAGCACGAGTACACCGGGGGATGAGGGGGCGGGCACAGGGGTATCTGACCTGGCAGAGTCGCGACTGCCCAACATACAGTAGCGCACGGGCACCCGGATCTTGTTTTCCACCCGCTTCCCCGGGGACACGGCCTCTGCACAGTGTGGGGTGACGGAAAGAAGGCGGCATCGATCCCTTCCAGCCCAGAACCGGAAAACACAAGCCCGGGCAGCCCAAGAAAGAAAACCTCCAGAGGCAGCTTGAAACATCAGGCCGCAGAACGGAGAGATTGGGCGGCAGGTTAACAAATCGGGAAAAGGAAATTAAAATGCCCCATGAAGGGCTTAGGAAACCAGGTGAGGACCTCAGAATACCAGGCTAGGGGCCAAAGGAATCAGGCGACGAGGCAAAGAAGTCCTATA